GAAGTGTGCCCCTGCTATTGGCCAGCCAGCTCTCAGCTGGTGCCTGTCAGCATGCTGCCCTGAGATCACATTACTGGTGGGACACAGTGAAAAGCAGCTAGTTTACTGTCTCAGGTGAGATCTATTGATGTACTGTATTCCGGGAGCCTAATTTGGGCAGTTTTCTTCTAGTCTTACAGCACAGTGCAATTAGCAGAGCTCCTGCCCTTTTCTCTGTGTTTCCAGTTCCTGATGACTGTTACCAGGTCTGTCAGCTGCATCAGGCAGTTCTAAGGTAATGGGCTGTTGTCCTTCCCAGAACTGGGACTCTGGTATCTCCTGTCAGCTGAGCCTGTGCCACCAGCCCAACCTAGGCCTGCAGACCCTAAGTGTTGAGAGTGCAGGGCCCAGTGCTGGCAAACGTCTTGCTCCCTTTTAATATTTTGAAGACAATCTTTATTTTTCCCCCCCTTCAGGGACACTGAAGCTGATGGAGGGAGCAGACAAGCTGCTCTGGTCTGTGCAGGTTGATCACCAGCTCTTCGCTCTGGAAAAACTGGATGTTACTGTGAGTGTCTGTGAACAGGACAGGAGGGAGGAAGACAGAAACTCAGCATGGCTTTGTCTGTGTGGGTTTAGGAAGGGCAGGGGGTGTAAGACTGGGCTGGGCTTGTCTCAGGGTGACCTGCAGAGTGCTCTGGCTGTGCTGGGGCATTCTGCGCTCACGTCTGCCTGCCTGCAAAAGGCTCGAGCTGTGTCCTGTCTGACCTGCTGAGCCCAGCACTCTGCTGTGAACTTTTTCATCCCCCAGCTGCTCTTTTCTCTTATGGCCAAGTTGGGTGGGTTTGCACACTGCTCACACCCCAGCTGATACTTGAGATGATGGTTTCCTAGTGCAGGGACTGGACAGGCCCAGGATGTCCGGACGAGGCGTCCAACAGTGGCGTCTTGTTCAGCTCTTGGTGTTCTGTCTCTGGACGAGCAGGAGAGACTCCTGACTGCCTCTGGGGGTAGCTGTCTGTGCTGATGACACCTTGTGGTTCCTGCAGGGCAACGGGCAGGAGGAGGTGGTGGCCTGTGCCTGGGATGGGCAGACGTACATCATCGACCACAGCCGGACCGTCGCCAGGTTTCAGGCGGACGAGAATGTCAGTGCCTTCTGTGCAGGTGGGAGCCTGGCAGCAGAGCCTGCCCCCACAGCCCTTCCCCCAGAGCTGCTGCTCCCCTCGGGGAGACCTGGCATCCTTTGCCCATCTGCAGTGGTGGGTAACTGCCCTCTGAGCACACTGCAGGAGGCCCATCTTGTCTTTCCTCCTGTGGCATCTGGGAGAAGCAGGGGTGAAAGGAGGTGGTCCTGAGCTCTGTCTGTGATGGTTTGGGTTTTTTTTTCCCTGTTGTTTTTGAAAGTGCTGCAGTGGTTTCTTGTCTTTCCCACTGCTTTTTTAATTTGCAGACTTCTAAGCTATTCTCAAGTGGAGCTCTACAAACCAGCCTGAGCATTGTCTGACTCAGTCCCCTCTCTCAGGTCTGCAAGAAGCAGCTTGCAAACCACTGAGCTCCATGCATTAAAAACAGTCTAGAGACACCTTCTAGAATTGTGTTAAAGGGACTTGATATACCCAGATCAGTGTCTGTGCCCCTTACCTGGGGTACTCATTGCTTTGGTACTTTGTCAAGAGAAGTTATTGACTTGCTTTCTCTGTCCTTTTAGAAGTGGTCAGATCTCCACATCTTTGCTTTCCGCAGGCCTCTATGCATGCAAAGGAGGAAGCAACAGCCCCTGCCTTGTTTATGTCAGCTTCAATCAGAAGATCTACATCTACTGGGATGTGCAGCTGGAGAGAATGGAGTCCACCAACCTGCTGAAAATACTGGACTGTGACCCAGAGTTCGGGCACCTCCTGCGGCAGCTGGGCGTGGGTGAGTGCAGACAGGATGAGGGATGTACAGGGGAAAGGGGAAGGTGCTGCTGGCACGTGTCGTGCTGGTGATGAGTTCCAGGTGCTTCCTCAGGGAGAAGAGCTTTTCATACTGCCTGTTAAGAATCCCTAACAACTGTCTTTCTCTCTTTTCCTCAGACAGAGATGATGTTTCTGCTGTCAAAGAGCTGATTCACAAAACACTGTATTTCCCTGAGAGCAGCTCCTCACAAAGTCAGGACCACACTGGAACAGACTCCTCTGCCCACAGCAGTGTCATGCAGAGCCCCTTGTAACAATTCTTTGGAGGCTGACATCCTTAATACTGGCACAGACTCCTACCCACTGAAACTGGGCATCTGATGAAGATGAGACTGTTTCCTTCCCATCTCAGTCAAAGCTTCCAGCCAGTAAAGGGTGTACAGGCTGGGTTCTTCTGAGGGGGGTGCTTGGTTGTAGGCTTGAGTGAAGGTGATGGGTTGATTTTCTTTCAGCTGAGGAAGCTACCAGAACAGCAGGAGTCCAGGGTCCTGCTCATGGGCCTCCCATTGCCAGTTTCCCTGTTCTCTGCTAGCTCAAGCACTTTATGGGGGAGCACTGAGGACAGAGATGGAGAGCAGAGCTGAGTTCAGTCTCTGGTTTGGCCTGTGCTTACAACTGCTCTAGTGATCACTTCTGAGTTCTTAGCAGGATCCCAGTGCAGTAACTGCACGGGGGAGTTGAGGTAGGGAGGAGCCAAGGGCCTTCTCTGCCATTTAGGTGTGGTTTTAAGGTGGGCCCATGCACTGTTTGCCTTTGCTCTGCTGCTGCTTTTCTGCCAAGCAGTTTCTCACAGACCACCTCCTGCTCTGAGGAGCTGGAGACGTGCATGAGAAGAAACAGAACTTGCCCTGGTAAGGTGCTGAGGCTGCAAGCACCTCAGCTGTCCTGAAGAGGCATTGCTCTGGTTGGGCAGTGAGATCCCAGGGGTGGCTGTGCCCACGTGGAGCAGCTGTGCAGTGGGCAGCAGGAGCAGCCTGTCTCAGGGGTTCTGTAACAGGCAGTGGCAATGCCATGCTGCCCTCGTGCTCTGAGGAGTGCCACTCTGTTTCAGGTCCTGCACAGCTGAAGGAGGTGGGCTGGACATGATGTTCCATTTGGTGGTATGTAGCATCCTGAACAAGCCATTGCTCCCCAGGCAGGGCTCTTCCCACGTGCTGCTGATGTTCTGCTTTTCCCCACTGCAGCTTGGCCCTTGCCTGACTCTTCTTAAACAGGAGCAGGAGGCTCAGCTCCTGTTTTGCATCTGTCTGACTGGTGTGATGTTTTACTGGACATGCATAATGGATGGAGCTGCCCCTTCCCCCTTGGGGCAGCCTGAGAGGGTGGCATCCCAGTCAGAGCAAATGTAATTCAGAGACTTTCTTAAGCAAATAGTAACATTCAAAGGTCCTGCAGGCTGTTGAAAACCTCTTGTGCTGTGTCCTGCAAAACACCCAAGGGCAGCCCTAACTGGGAGAAAACTTTGCATAGAGGAAGAGTGTCTTGCCTTGGGTCAAAAGGACTGTTCCTGGAGTATCCCCATGAGGTGGAAGGGCAGGGTCTCCACATAATAAGCTGTAGCTCTTTGCCATTTCCATCCATAGATTCCCATAAGCTCTGGGGAGGACAGCTGCTGTCCTCTGGTGGCAGTTTCATGGAGCAGTGGAATCCTATGGCCTGCTTTGTACCAGCTAGCACTCCTCTTGCTCCTCAGGGCACTCTGCTGACGCTGTAACTACTGTGGAAGTTTCTCTCCTTTTTAATGACCTTACTGAGAACCCTTTTTAAATGTGCCCCTGTTCTGCCAAGTGCTTGTACAACTGGACCCCTCAGGCAGGAGCTCTCAAGGCATAATGGTGTTTTACTGGCAGATGTTCAGAGCAGCAGGGCTTGTCAGCTCTGGAGAGCTGGTAGTGTAGGGACCATCTACTGATGGGCTAAAGCAAGGAGTGGTCTTGAAGCTGGTCAGCTCTGGACTGTAGCCTCAAGAAGCTGTCAGCCCTCAGGATGGTGAGATGTTGGAGTGACCCCTTGGGCTCTCCTCAGTCTCGTAGTCCTTTCCTAGCAAGGATGAGTCCTGGGTCTTTTAACCAGAGCACAGTATATTGGTTTCTTGCTGCTTCCAGGTTTCTGTTTTGCAAAACCTAAAGCTGCTCTGCCCATTACCAGAACAAGTGAAGATTCTCTCTTCTCAGGTGAAGCAGTAGCAGTCACTATCTTATCTCCTCCCCTTGGGGCCCAGCTGAGTTGGGGAGAGGTGAATGTCCCTGGAGGTGTGGTGAGCAGTTCTGACTCCCTGTATTCTGGAATGCTCACTGCTTAGCCCTGTTGCTGCCCCCTTTGAATCTAGCACTCCAGAATCAGTGGAACTGACATGAAGAGGGACCACAGGGCAGCAGGGCTCTGCAGAGCAGCCTCCAGAATCCTATGGCAGAAATGGGGTTACAGCAGTGTCCGTGTGTGTTGGTGTGTGCTGCTCTTCCATTCTGAACACAGGGCTCCTGCTCCTTTGCTTTAGGTGGGGTATTTTCTCTTCTTGCTGCTCCCTAATCCTGTGGCTTCTGCCTCCCCTGCCTGGGACAAATCCAGGGTGGTTACAAGCAACAGAGAACAGCAGTGCCCAGGTTTTCAGTCCTGGCTTGTGCAGCCTGGCCCGTGTACTGATGGGCTCCTCTGCTCTGTGTGCTGAGAGCTGGAGCCTGCCACAGGCTGTGCCTGCCCTGGTCCCACCCAGCACGTGCCCTGGTGACTGCAGTGTTCAGCAGTGCTCTCTGGACCCACTGCTGGAAGCTCAGATGTCCCTGGAGCTTTGCTTGGCTGGGGCTGGGCCAGGCTGAGCTGCCTGGTGGCTGGGTCCCACGGGTACTGCAGTGCTGTTGGTGCAGCTCCTTCCTGGGGCCTGGCAGAGCAGCACTGTGCACTCCCAACAGGACAGCTGTCTGCCCATGCCAAACAGACCTTTATTAGCACAAGCACGAGGAGGGTACAGATGGGGGTTGGTGTGCTGTACAGGCCAAATGATGCCCAAGGAAGGGAGGTCAAACTGATCTACTGTAGGACTGATAATTCTTGAGAAGAGACAGGGAAAAGGTAAAGGGGGAGGGATTACATCTTCCTAAGAACCATCTGTAAAAGAAAACGGAGCACACCCAGAGCTGGGCAGGGCAGGCTGTGCACCCTCACCCCCTCCCCTCCGTGCCCTGAGGGTGACATTGCTGTGGCTCTGCAGGCCTGGGCACGCTGTGGTGTGCAGAGCAGGGAGGAGATATGGACACCACCAATCCTCCGTTCCCCAAAACTCTTCATCTCTTAAAACCACTTGAGAGAGAAAATACTAATGCTTGAGGGCTTCCCCTGACAACTTTATACTGCTTGCAGCACATAATAACTTGCAGATGCATTTGGCTCCTGTACCCTTGTGCATAAAGGAAAATGAAAGTTGTCTACAGAATTAACTGGAATGTGTCTGGTTTGTGTGGCAAGGTTTTGGTAGTGGAGGGGCTACAGGGAGGGTTTCTGTAAGAGCTGCTGGAAGCTTCCCCCACATCTGATAGAGCAGCCAATGCCAGCTGGCTCCAGGATGGGCCTGCCACTGGCCCAGGACGAGCCCCTCAGTGATGGTGGTGGCACCTCTATGATAACGTGTCTAAGAAGGGGAAAATAAAAATAAAAATACACAAAACCAGGGAAACAACAGCAGTGGAGAGAGGAGTGGAGAATATGTGAGAGAAACAACTCTGCAGACACCAAGGTCAGTGGAGGAGAAGGAGGAGGAGGAAGAGGAGGAGGAGATGTTCCAGGTGCCAGAGCAGGGATTTCCCTGCAGCTCGTGGTGAAGAGCATGGAGGGGCAGGTTGTGCCCTGCAGCCCATAGAGGACCCTGTGGTGGAGCAGGTGGATGTGCCTGAAGGAGGCTGTGATGCTATGGGGAGCCTGTGGTGGGGCAGGGTCCTGGCAGGGTTGTGACCCTGTGGGGAACCCACGCTGGAGCACTCTGGTGCTGAATGCCTCCACCCCACGGGAGGCACTGCCCTGGAGCAGTTCTCTGGAGAAGTTCAGGGGGGACTGTCTGACATGGGAGGAAGCCCACGCCAGAGCAGGTAAGAGTGTGAGGAGTCACTGCCCTGAGGAGGAAGGAGCAGCAGAAACAATGTGTGAGCATTAACCACACGCTCCACTCCCTGTCCCCATCCACTCTGTGCAGTAGGAGGAGGTGGAGAAAGTGGGAGAAAACATCTGTGGATGGCACAGGCCTCCTCAGTTCCTTGACTCCCCTGCTAGCAGAGAAAGGAGGAGCAGGGCTCAGGGAATGTGCATGGCTGGAGCTCCCACTCCATTGGAAACCAAGAGCCCAAGCTCATGGAAGTGGTCCCAGTTCTGGCTTGGGCAGAGCGTGTGCTCTTGGGATGGGTTTGCCCCTTGCTGCCCACAGGCAGGTCCAGTCGTGTACCTCACACCCAGCTGGTAACACCCCCCTGCTCCCAGGGCTCCCGGGGACAGTCCCTGCACTCCACCACTGCTGTACCCCTCCTGCTGGGCAGGAGCTGACTGCCAGGACAGTGCAGAGATGTCCCTGGCACAGGAACGTTCTGTGGTCTGCACTGAAGGGATGGGCCCCGTGCTGAGGAGCCAGCCCAGCGTTGGGCACTCACAGGAGGTGCCACTTTCTGCCCTGAGGTAGCAGTTTGTACTGAATTTTGACTTGCCATATGAAAGCATTAGCAGTTTGTGATCTCCAGTGGAAAGATCTATAGATAGCTCTTCCCTTCCACTGTCCCACAGAAGCAACAGAGGTGACTGGCAGTAGGGGTAGGGAGGTGTGGCTGTGTAGCAGGCTCTTCCTAAAGGAACTGCAACTGAGACTGTCTTCAGCCCTGCCAGCCCACTGAAAACCCAACCTGCTGGGCTCCTAGCACAGGGGACTTAAAATCACCATGTGTGCAGATGGAGTTAGGTTTGTTTCTTTGAGATGTTTTCAGTCCTGTGCTATAACCACACCTTTTAAAGCCAGGATTTCTGTCCTTCACTATGGAAGCAGGGAGTCCCACGTGATGACACGAAAATGCTGGTTGAGAAAACAGCACTTTGGACAAGAATTCAGAATACAAGTGCTAAGGTCAGTAACAACATGGCCCTTAATGCCAGCAGGGGGTTAAAATCACCATGTGTGCAGATGGAGTTAGGTTTGTTTCTTTGAGATGTTTTCAGTCCTGTGCTATAACCACACCTTTTAAAGCCAGGATTTCTGTCCTTCACTATGGAAGCAGTGAGTCCCATGTGATGACACAAAAATGCTGGTTAAGAAAACCACTTTGGGCAGGAATTCAGAATACAAGTGCTCAGGTCAGTAACAACATGGCCCTTAATGCCAGGGAGCCCTGTTTGAGGAGGAGGAAATGGGGTGCTGTAGGACAGGACTGTGATCTGGGGAGAGCTGGTGAGGTGTCAGCCATGGTGTTGTGACCTGCCCTGCAGTTTTCATTTGGTAGGGGAATGGTTTTTTCTGTAAGCTCTGCCTACAACAGAGCTTGATGGGGAGGGTGCAGGATAACTGTGGGCAGCAGATTGCTGGGTGTCTGGCTGGAGGAGACCTGGCCTGTGTGGAGCTGCACGTTCAGTGGCGTGGCCAGGGGGATGAGAAGGGTGTTCCCTGCTCTGGAGCTGACTTCACAGCTGAAAAGAATTCTCACATGGTGATTTAGCACTTGCCTGGAAACCTCCCATGGAACTGGGGGTTAGGGTTCATGCTGAGGTTTAGGGTTAGTGTTGGGTTTAGTGATTAGTCTCAGGGTTAGTGTTGAACTCAGGGATAGTTAGGATTTGTTGTTAGAGTTTAGGATTAGGGTTTGGGATTGGGGTTAGGTTTTGAAGTTAGTGTTTGTAGTTGTTATGTTTAGGATTAGGTTTATGTTTTGGGGTTAGGGGGTTATGTTTAGATTTAGGGTGAGGGTTGGGACTAGTGTTTAGGATTAGGGGTTGGTTAGGGCCAGTGTTAGGGTTAGCATTAAGGTTTAGGGTTAAGACTAGTTTTAGGGGTTAGGTTTAGATTCCAGGTGACACACAGGATGGTTTAGTACAAGCCTGAAGTGTCATTCAGGACCCCTGGGTTTGAGCAGCCAGTCAGACATGCAGGTGACACAAATCCAGGAGGAATTACTGGTGCTTTGGAGGCAGGGTCCCTGAGCAGACGTGGGTCCTGCCAGAAATGAGGGAACTGTGGGTGTCATTCATGAAGTTCAGAGGCAGCAGTTCATGCAGCAGAACACTCAGGTGCACAAGTAGAAGAATGGAAAGAAGCCAAGGAACAGGTCAGAAGCTGCAAGACAGGATGACTGACAGCAGAGGTCACCAGCCCCATGCTGCCTGTAGGAGGACAGGTGCCAGTCACACCACGGGTAAGCTCCTCCCTGGTCACAGCAGTCGGGCTGCACTCTGCTGTCCTCAGCAGATGGCAAATTGCAGCACACAGCTTCTGCTTCAGGAAAGAACTGGCAGAAAAATAATCAGAAGTGCACACCCAAGTTCTGTGAGAAGCACAACAGAAGCAATGACTGCTTTGAAAAAAAGGGGGAGAGCAAGCAGGGCTTAATCCAGGAGGATGGGCCAGAAGGGAAGTCACAACATTCCAGGGGTGGGCAAAGGGACATTGTGCAGGGCTTGGGTAGGCAATCAGCAGTCGTGAGGCATGGATCAAGCCCTGACCTGGTGCATCTTTCCTGGAGATAGTAAAGAATAGACTATGTATTTATCATGGAGCTATGCTCCAGGATGTCAATAAATTAAACCAAAGAAAAACCAACCAATCCTCCAACAATGAAGTGGTTTAATGATCACCCTCTCATCCCAAGGGAGGTCACAGTTCTCTGGCCTGAGCTGACACCACAGCAAGTCTAGTTCTTGCTTCATGCAGGAGTAGCAAAGTTGATGGGCTGTAAGATGCCAGAACTTGAGGCTGCTGATGCATCTGTGTCCAACCACTAGATTTCAGGCTGAAAGAAAGGATCTGACAGAGCAGAAGACTCTGGATGCTGTAATTCATCACAGCTTTAAACTGAGTGGCAGGATCTCTCAGGATGCAGCAGGGGAGATAATAATGCAGCTCTAGCAGCTGGAGGGCAGAGGAGGTGCCTGGTCAGAGGAACAAGATGTGCAGGTCTGGTTACTACACCCAACACCAAGAGGTGATAAGCATTGCCACTCATATCATGCAGCTTGGTGGCCAAGGATGCAGTGCTAGAGCTCAGGCCCCTGTGAGTGTCCACTGTACCTCTGAGCATCTACACTCAGCATTTCTGCAAAGGTTTCTTAGAGTTAAGAACTTCAAAAGTGTTCCCAATGCAAGGTCTTTTTCCAATAAAATACTTCTGGTCTGGTCTGAGCCAGCAAAAAGTAACAAAATCCAGCTTCCTAGAGTTCAGGTGAGGGGGCACAGAGCCCTTCCCACAAAGAAATGGGAGTGGAGTCTGCCTGCACTGAGGCAAAGAGAAGGGAAACTCATGGCAATCTTTGGAGGCCTTTGGAGAAAGTGCTGTCCTGCTGTCCACAGAACAACTAGAGATTTTCACAGAGACTCTCCTGTCTACTACTGTAAAAATAAGAAGAGGAAGGTGAATTCAGTACATAAGCAGAAACTGGAGTGATTAGGGACAGATAAGATAGAAAAATAAGACCAAAATGCCCATTCAGCATGTGGGGACAAGCGAGAGGGTCCACTGAAAGGGGATCTCTGCAGGTGAGGCACTCCCAGCAACAACAGCTCCCAGCATCCATCTGCCTTTTCCTCACTCCCCAGTGAATGCCTCAGCAAGGTTGGGGCACGTGAGCCTCACCCTCATCTCTCAGGGCAGCATGTCTCCTCAGCCAGACAGGAGGGGTGCAGCCAGTCACTGACCAGGCTCCTCAGAGGCGTGTAGAAAAGGCAGCTCTTGACTCAGTGCTTTAAATCTCAGGACTCCTTCCTCCAGGTCGATGCAGCTCTAAAGAAGAGGAGAGCCAGTTACCTGCCAGCCACTCCAGATAGCAAATGTTATGATGTCCATGACTGGGGAGAACTTGGGCACCACCAAACAACCCCACCCTGAGTTTACAGAGCCCTTACAGCTGCCCTCCCTGCCCCACGTGCTCCTCAGCCCTTCAAAGGATGCCCCTCCAGAGCCTTCAGAGGGCCACTCCCCTCCCCTCCTCCTCTGAGCTGATGTCCTCTCAGCCCCAGCCCCATGCTTCCCCTGCCCTGTCAATCTGAGAGGTGGCTGCAGACCCTGGCAGGCAGCAGTAAGCTCCCTGCAGCCACGTTCTGAGCCACCCAGGACCAGGCCCAGCAGACAGGAGAGGGCTCCTGCACACAGGTCTAGCCTGTGTGGGACACTGGGTGGGATTACAGCTTCACTGGGCTCACAGCAAGGGCAGAGCATGTTCACATCAGCCTTCAGAGAGCAGCACAGACACGATCCATGGCATGCTGTAGCTTGCCTTGTCCCCTTTCAGTTCCCCCTTCCTGTCTGCAACTTGTATGCTCAGGAATACAGAGAGTGGGAGACGTGACACTGTCCTGTTGGGTGATTCCTCTCCTAAAACCTTCAGGAGGGAATCAGTGACTCAGAGCTCACTGCAGCCAGCCAGGCAGCTGAGCACCAAGCATTTCAAGCAGCACTCTGGAAGACCCAGACGTATTTCTGATGCTTACAGCAACCAAAGCTTTGAGAATTTCCTGACAGGAGCCCTGCAATAAGCAAGAAGCTGTTCCTTACCTTGAGAGACAGCAGAGTCTGGAGACCAATGCAAAACTCCAGCATTTCATCATCTGCAAAGAGAAGAGACTTCTCAGGCTTAAGCAACAGGACTGTGCCTCACAGAGCTCGTAGGTGTGGGTGCCAGCAGTGGAGAGATGAGTGTGCAGGAGAGCTCTGGACACCAGCTCCAAGCAGGGTCACAGGGGTCTCAGGTTTGTCACTTAGCACCTGAAGAGGACTGGGCATATGTGTGAGAGGTCTAAGAGCCACTGACTAGAATGACCTGGGTGTGATTAGATCTCCATGGTGAATTTAATCCTATGTAGGGTTACATAATACAAAAATGATCTATCTGCTAGACTCATAATTATCTGGCAAACTTCAGCCTGGTCTGGCCAGTGAGTAGGAGAAAACTTGCATCTGGGGAGACTCAAGGTCAGTGGCTAGGTAAGGGACCAGGGTTCTGAAGTGGATGTAAGACAGACCTAGAAACTGCTGAGGCTGTGAATACAGGTTTGCTTGTGAGCCTAGGGACAGGGACGTGTGAGCTCTGATCTGGGTCAGTGAGAGAGGGGGAGCAGGGGGGACCATTTCTGCTGGTGCTGACCTGAGAACTAGTCCAGGCACTGCTGTGTGTGTGCAGTGTGTGCCTGGCCTGGCTCTGTCCCTCCTGGATACAGGCTCAGCCCTGCCCCTCCCCAAACCTGCCTCTCAGAGCACACACAGCCAGCTGGGAGCAGCCTCCTGGGTCCGAGCCACCCGCCTGCACTTCAGAGGCAGGGAAGGAGTCCTCAGGAGTCAGGAACACCAGTAACCCCTCCCAGGTCTCCTGGATGCCTGCTTGGCCTGTCACCAGCAGCTGCATTTTATAATTCCTTTATAACAGAGCAAGAGTGCAGAGAGGAGAGGTGCAGCTGCAGCAGCTCTGCTCCTCCCAGGCAGCCTTTCCACACTGCAGCACAGTGCAGAGGGGCTCCTGGGCTAAATTCAGACTGCCCACGAAGGACAAGGGCAGGCAGAGGGGAAACCAGGGAAGAGGAGTGAGATGGAGTGTGGAAGAGGAGGAAGCTCTTTCTAGATAAGTAGGAAAGTGGGAAGAATGGTCATGAAAAGCTGAAGCAAGGGAGGCTTTGGGAGATGAATAGTGCCCATTAAAGCTGAGGGGACGGATAAAGGGAAGGGGGTAAAGCTGGAAGACTAACAGGGAGAAGAACAGGGGGAAAAAGACAACTAAGTTGTTTTCAGCATCTGCACAGCTTGATGTAATGCAGAACAGGCAGCCTCCCTGCTGCTGTCTGGGTGTCCTCCAGTGCCTGGTGGCTTGACATTGTCTCCCACAGCAACGTCCTTCCAAGGGTCTTGCCCCAGGACACCGAGGGAGACTCAGCACCCTGGTGCTACCAGGTTCTTCCAGGGTGCTCCCTGCAGTAGAGGCAGATGAGCACACAAAGAAACACCCTGGGGAACAAGCTGTGGCCTCTGTCAGTTCCTCTGGTGGCTTCCACCCAGCCAAAGACACAAGTGCCCACTCAGTACAAGAACACAGGGCACCAGAGAACTGATTGAGCAGCCTAGACAATTTTAAGAGGGGGTCATTTTGGAAGGAAATGAGAATTTTCCACATCCTGTGTTCAGATCCAAAAGCACCTCAGGTCTCCCCTCTGGCAATGTCTTCTCTGTACTCTTCCTGTGCCCTTTGCCTGTGATTACCCTGAGTATTCACAGTCCACAGGGATGCTGACCAGCAGTGGAGGTGACCACAGCATCACACCCTCCCCAAAGGGCCCTTTCAGTGCCCTTGGCAGGGCAAGAGGAACACAGTAAAGCTGAGGAGAGGAGGGGCTGGCATTCTCACCTACAACCAGTGCTGAACACAGCACTGTCTCCTGGCCAAACTGCAGCTCCAGCTCTTCTACTTGTCCAACAACACTGGGCACGGGGGGAGAGAGGTCTCCATGGTCCATGGCACACACTTCTTCCAGCCTGTGGGACACAAGAGGTGTTACTGATTCAAGTGGAGGAATAGGAGGAAAAACAGGACTTCTCACTGCTGGCAGTACTTCCTGGTCTCATTTGGAACAGGCCTGAAGGAGGAGGAATCTCTCTCACACAGCTTGTCTGCAGGCAGATTTCACAAGCAAAACCACAAGGCACTATCCCTCTGGGTTCCTCACTGCTGGAGCTGAACATCAGCTGGGCAGCTTTGCCCTGCAGTACACAGAGAGACTGTCACAGCTCTGTCTGCTGCTCTGGGGTCTGCACATCTCTGTCTCCCAGCCTGCTGCTCTTCACCTTCTCCTGCAGAGCCACGTGCCCATGCAAAGCTGCTCTGCTAGTAACTCCAACGGCCTGGGGAGCCAGAGTGCTGAGGCTCCTGCCCCAGGTTTCCTTCAGCCACCCCTCCTCTCCTGCTGTGCAAAGACTTACCCCAGCTGGTTTACACAGCTCTTGGAGATGAGATTTGGTAGACACCCAGTGTTAATAGTCGCTTTCAATACCTGACCTTGGCACTAGAAAACACAATAACAAATAATTACTGTGGGCTCCAAAGTTGCATATCCACTCCAACAGTGTGACCATCCCTCAGACCTTTCCAGGCAACACAGCCAGAGGTGTGGTGTTCCAGACAACACAGCCAGAGGTGTGGGGCTTCACACAACACAGCCAGAGGTGTGGGGTTTCAGACAACACAGCCAGAGGTGTGGTGTTCCAGGCAACACAGCCAGAGGTGTGGGGTTTCACACAACACAGCCAGAGGTGTGGGGTTTCAGACAACAGTCAGAAGGCAGGAGACTCATCCAAGACAACGGTGCTCTCCTCAGTGCCCTGCAAGCCTCTGCCAAAGGCTTCTTCTGAATTTGTCTTCTTTGATTTGTATTTGATTGCCCATTGCCCAGGTTCAGCGAGGACAGAGTTAATTTCCAAGAAGCTGGGAAGGGGCCACAGGCAGCAGACAAGCAAACCAGCCAAGGGGTGGTCTGGTACCAGGGCAGGGGCCACCACTGGGCACAGAGCTACCTCTGGCTGCCTGTGTTAGATCACTTGCTTTATGTATTGTTTCATCCCTGGATTATCACTACTGTGGTTTGCTTCTTTTGCCTTGTTGTACTCAACCCTCCTTCTCTCAGCCCACAGGGATTTGTATTTTCCTCTCTCCCATGCAGGGCTACTGTGGTTTGCTTCTTTTGCCTTGGTGTACTCAACTCTCCTTCTCTCAGCCCACGGCGATGCAGGGGCTGGGTCAGTGGGTGAGCAGCACCGTGGTGCCCAGCTCCTGCCTGGACCTAAACCACAACACCCACACACTTACCTGTTATCAGTGACTTTAACTACAGGTATTCCAGTTAAGAGATGCAAAACCAGTTAACAGACTTCATTAGCAGAGCAAGAATTGATTATTGCTATGACAATGTAACAATAATAATAACTGATATGACAAAAGCTTCTAAAGGAATATAAGGCACTCAGCAGCAGCAACAGGCCTCCCACAGACCCTCTGCCCTCCTGCTTATCCCTGAGGAGCCTCAGACACCTCAGGCAGATGAGGATGGTGATCCAGGAGTCAGTGCAGCACCAGGAGAGGAAAATCTCTCAGTTTCCTCATTTCTTAACTAAATCTCTTTATGATTATTACATGGGTTAATCATCACAGAGAGCTACATCCAGTATTCCCAAGATTTCATTTTCAAAAATGTGCTACTTCTGAGTTATTATAAAGAGAAAGGAGAAGACACTCCTGTGAGAAATGCTGGAATGCTGCTAACAGCTACAACATCAACAGTAGCTTGAGTGCTAATTGCACTCAAAGCAACCTCAGAGAGTGCAGGCTGAAAACTTCAAGTCTCTTTTGTCTGGGGGCTCTTCCTCTGGTCTAAACTGCATCTACAGTACATCAGTGTAGAGGATTTCATCACTCTGAACACTTGGATGCACCACGTTCCTACAATGGCCACTTGGATGAGAACTTCTGAAGAACTGCAAGGCCACTGGAGCTAGAGACCCCACCCTGCACTGCTGCAGTGCTCAGCAGGGGGCAGGTGAGACCCACGGCGATGGAAATGCCATCAGTGGGCTCAGAAGGAAGAGCTTTCACCACGTGTGGTGTGCTCCTCAGTCTCAGCCACACAACCTACATTCAGTCCAAGGCTACTCTTTGGCACGTGGGATGGAAACAGCTACAGAACTGCAAAGATACAGGCTGGGAGGACACAACATTTCACTGACCTGATACCAGCTGGAAGATTGACAAAACAGAGTCAGACCACAGAGTAAGCAGTCCCCAGAATCCCTCTTCTGCAGGTCTTTGCACATCTACCCAGGGATGTACAGCTCCTTTACAAATAAGCTGTCCTGTTTAGGACTCTATTTAGAAGCTCCTGACTTTGGCAATGCTTCTTGTTCAAGAAAAAACACAGCCACCATGGTTCCAGGCTGCCTGGCATGCCAGGTTTAAAATTCCAGGACTAGGAGTAGTGTGTGCCCATAGAGATCCCCAAGACAACTGGAGAGATCCCACCCCACCTCATGACAACTGCTGTTTGTGGCAAAAGCTGGGATTACAAAGTCCAAGCTTCTAGAGACAAAACAGCCTGGAAACTGGCTGGACCTGGAGGACAGTCCCTTATTCCTGCCCGTGCCAAAGGGGTTGGAACTAGATGGTCCTTAAGGTCCCTTCCAACCCAAACTGTTCTGTGATTCTCTGATTCTGTGGGAAAACAGAAGATTGGTGAGGAGGACTGTAGGCATGCTCAAGTGACTTGCAACTGCAGTGCTGAAAACCCACATCCATCACACTGAGTGGTGCTCAGCTGTATGTGTTTGACAAGCAGAAGATCTGTGTTTAGGTAACACAGGTCTGTGAAGGACTCGGGGGCACCTTAGCAAACACGCCCGAGGTTCCTGCCCTGTGTGGGTGAGACCCAAGCAGAGTGGCAGCTCCTCCTGCCAGGATCCCAGCTGTGCAGGCAGCAGCAGCAGGCACAGGAGGCCTCTGACCCTCAGCAAGGGCCCAGCTCTGCAGTGCCCATGTGCCCCCCTGTCTCTGCCTGGGTGCTGCTGCCAGTCCCCGGGTGACTGGGTCATGAGAATGGATCTGCTCTCTGCATTTCAGCCAGGGTCCTGTGGTGGTCCCTGCGTGCCCTGTGCTGGCTCACAGGCTCGATGCCAACGTGCTCCCCCTGCTTTCAGAGCTCTGGGATGTCTGTGCTGCCCGGCCCCCGCTGGCACACCAGCCCTGCCTGGGAAGATCGAGGCCAAGCAGACAGAGCAGACAGGTGCTGAGCGTTGGGCTCCCCTCCCCTGCACTGGGCCCCACAGCAGAGCTGCTCCTGGGCCGCCCCCAGGCGGGTGTGTCAGCCACCGGGTTCCGCCGTGCTGCCCACACTGGCCCGCC